AAAAAAAAAAAAAAAAAAAAAAAAAAAAACGTTTTTCAGGGTGCCTGGGTGGCTCAATTGGTTAAGCGTCTGACTTTGGCTCAGGCCATGATCTCACGGTTTGTGAGTTCGAGCCCCACATCAGGCTCTGTGCTGACAGCTCAGAGCCTGGAGCCTGTTTCAGATTCTGTGTCTCCCTCTCTCTCTGCCCCTTGCCTGCTCACACACTCTCTCTCAAAAATAAACATTAAAAAAATAAAAATAACCCTTTTTCAAATATTTTAACAGATTAATTTTAAAAATATTTCTAATTACAGTAGTTTTATACTCTTGAAGCTAATGCAGATGGGGTATTTAATATCTGGCACTTCAAATGACTGAAAGTAGTAAGAACCAAGAAAATTACTTTTAAAAATTCTCTAATTGAGACTTTGCACTAAATCATATTTAAGCCAAGAGTTTTCAGGCAACAAAACTTTGAGATGAAAACAAAAAAATAAATAAATGTGACCATTTTTAAAAATCTAACTTTTGCCATATATTCTTATATGTTCTTTTTATGTAATAACCGTGTAATTATCACACAAACATATGATAACACATTATTCCAGCATTATAGAAAAAGTCACCAAGATGCAGAGAGGTTCTGTAATTTCCTTGGTCAGTGTTGGCACTGGGCTTTTTTCAATCTGGAGCACACTGTCTCCTTTGCCATTGGAGAGGACAGAGCTATAGGTACCATGAGAAATGAGGGAAACAATTTTTTTTTTTAATGTTTATTTTTGAGAGAACGCATGCACATGAGCACGAAGGGGGGAGGAGCAGAGGGAGGGAGACACAGAATCCAAAGCAGGCTCCAGGCCCTGAGCTGTCAGCATAGAACCTGATGCAGGGCCTGAATCCACGAACCTTGAGATCATGACCTGAGCCAACGTTGGACGTTCAACCGACTGAGCCACCCAGGTGCCCGAGGGAGACAGAATTTTGATGTAAGTTCTCCTCAAGTCCCTTTGCATGTAATCCAGTTTTGTCAGATCCAACAAAGACATAAAAGCTTAAAAAAACAAGAGACTTTACCTGGATCACCTGGGGAACAACTGCCTGGTGCTGTAATAAATATTTAAAAGGAAGGACCTTTTTTGTTGTTGTTATTCCAAGTCTTACTCTCTTTTGTTAATCCTGTGGTAAGGCAACATTTGGGGCAATCACACTTTTATTTCTTTGGTAGCTTCTGGGACTCCCTATTCCTTGCTATGAACTGCAATGGTCTTTTCCACCTGGGTAATTTAAGTTGTCATCTTTTGATGAATTTATTTAAAGCTAAAAGCTTTTTCCTTTTCTTCTGTGAAGAAAAAAAAATATGGTTAAATGTAATGATTCATACAGGACACTGTCAGGAAACCACTCAATTTAACAATGAATTGACTGACTATAGTGCAGTTTCTTTCTGTTTAAAAGTAAAGTTTATAATTCTTTGATATTTATTTATTGTAGGATGTAATTAAAACCATTGTACAGAGTGGTGGCATCAAGCATCTAGTTACCATGGCAACTAGTGAACATGTAATAATGCAGAATGAAGCCCTTGTTGCTTTGGCACTAATAGCAGCTTTAGAATTGGGTAAGTACCCCAGTGTCAAACTTATTTTCTCCTATTTTTATCTTGGATGAAATGAAGCACAGGAGTGGAATAGAAGTCAGACAAAACCATGACTAGAAGCCTTTTGCTAGTGTGTGTCTGCAACCTAGAGCTAAGAATATAGGTCATGTTTTGTAGATTGCGACGACAGCTTTTGCTTTTGGTAACATTTTTAGGCCAATCATTGACTCTTTTTTAGAGTTTGACTCTTAAATGTTACTTCAAGTTATAGGCACTTAGTGAATACAGAAAACATTTTCAGAAGGCCTCCCAGAGAAATGAAACATTATTTAGAATACAACAGCACAGCGGGTTTAGAGTCTGCTACTCTTCCAGTGACCCAGACCTTCTCTTCCATCTGTACTACTGATTCTCTTATCTCCTTCTATCACCATGGTTTCTGTTGCTTTACAGTATTGCCCTCATGCTAAATTTTCACCTTCTGGGTCAGTCTTCTGTGTGTTTTACATTCAGAATTCTGCAAAAGCAGAGTTTAAATCAGTTAATTTCTGTCTAGTATATAGCATCCCTCTTGGTCAGAATTCTTCTTGAGAAGCTAGTTCATAGGCATCTAGCTTATGGATAGTAACCTTTGTCCCAGGAACCAATCTCTGATATAGTTAGCTGGGGACAATCAGTCACATGCCTGTGGTTAAGGCCTGAGGCTGCCTTCCACAAAGGAGGACTATAGACTTAGTAGGTTTGTCCTGTCAAAGCCATTTAGATAAACACTGTTAACTGATCACCTCTTAATTCCCAGTGATGACTTATATCCATAATTCTACACAAGAGCAAGTGGACCCACCAACCCCTATCCTAAGGGAGAGGCCAAAACATAAACATCATATATCTTCCTCTAGTGTCACATTTACTCAGATTTTAGATGTGAGAGATTTGGATTTTTTCATCTAAAAGGGTTTTGAATTTTAAAAGTCTTTAAAAAATCACAGGTATAAATAGGATGTAAAATTTTTCTTAATTTTAAAGATAAAACACTTCAAGAAAACATATGCTTATTCTCAGTGACTTGGCCTATAGTTAGAGATGCTTTGGAGGTCATTTTGAGTCCTGGATTAGTCATGACTTAACACAGGGTTTGGGTGGAATCAGCCTAGAAGTCCAACCATCTTGGAGGGTTAGGTTGGAGGAGCTATGATGAATGAATACTTTTTAATATACAACCCACTTTGAAAACCATATTTTTCTAGCCTTGTTTCCTTACAGGTGTTTGATATGATTAAGGAATTACAAATCTTTTGTATGATAATAGTATTAAAGCAACCTTTAAGAGTCTTTTTTTTCTTTTTATTCAATTATAAATTCACATGCAGTTTTGTAAAACTAAAAAAAAAAAAATACTACAGAGATCCCTTGTATACTTTGCCCAGTTTCTCCCAATGGTAACATTTTGCAAAACTATAAACAATATTTTAACTATTCATGTAATTTACCAGTCCTACACAGATTTCCCCAGTCGTTTGTGTGCGCTTGTTAAGTTCTGTATAGTTTTATGATGTATAAGGTTGTGTATCGACCACCATAGTCAAGCTACTGAATGGCTTAATGCCACAAGGATCCCTCCACTTATAACCACACTCACCTACCTCCTACTCTTACCCCTTACCTTGCTTCTAATCCCTAGAAACCACTAATCTTCCCTTCATTTCTAAAATGTTATATATATAGAATCATGTAGTATGTGACCATTTGGGATTGTCTCCCATAATTTCCTAAAGAGTCATCCAATTTGTTTGAGTCTCAATAATTTTTTTTATTGCTGAATAGTGTTCGATGGTAGGTACATACCAGTATGTGTTTAACCATTCCTGTCAAAAAACATCTGGGCTGATTCCAGTTTGGGGCTTTTATTTTTTTTTTATTTTTTATTTTTTTATATATATGAAATTTATTGTCAAATTGGTTTCCATACAACACCCAGTGCTCATCCCAA